GGCAATTAGAGGAAAATTAGTAATGAATATTAACAACCAACCTGCCAAGCCCCTTGCAAAGTGCTAGCCTGGAAGTTGTGGAACTCTGACTTTCTGCACCTAACACTTAGTTGCCTCACCAAAGTTTTATTTCCTGGCTACTTTGTGCAAGCAATTTCTTGAGAAAGGCACCATAGTGCATTTTTCTCTTAGAAAAGCCTCATTGGGCAGCGATGTGAGCTGAGTCTTTCCATTCCCTGGATGGAAATGAGTATGCATTGCCCAGCTTCCTCTGTTTTCACCCTCTCTCCCATTGTTAGCTTTTCTCATATGGAACTACATGCCAGTGCTCACACTTGGTTTGCTGGGTTTTCCCCCACTTTATCAGTTTTTAAGCAGGAATACAATAAGGAATGGGAAAAGTCAGGGCTAAATTTGTGTATCTTCCATTTTCCAGACTAGTAATTTCAATTTGATTGTATTTTGACCCATACATATTTTTCCCTCCTCACATACACTTTGACCATGAATTCCAATTCTACATCCATGGCCATTCAGAGACAACCAATACTCCTGTAACTTCATTATTCCCTGGCAAAATGACTATCACACAGCTCTTGCAAGCCACAGCAGCTTGTTTGGGGTCTTTTCCCACCCCAATTCCATGTTATTGCTGCTGTTACTTAATGTTTGCAGTTACAGCTCATTCTTACCCTTCGATTTTACCAGGTGGTGACTGACTATACAGGAGGGGAGGAAGGACCAAACACTCAGTGGTCTGCCTCCCCAGGAAAGTGTTATCAGCTCAGTGGGAAATGAGTCAAAGAATTAATAAATGCACATACACAAATCTGCAATGTCATTACTGTCCAGAGATGAGAAAAAACCTAGAACATTTTGTTTGCAAAAATTCTGCATTCTGGAAATCATTTTAAAGTGGCCTTTGTTGAGCTGTTTGCAGATCTGTCTAATTTTAGAAGCTTTTTTAAGGACATTCTAATGTTTAATACAAAAAACACAAATTAAATTCAAATCTGGAATTCAAGGCAGGAATTGTCAAGCTCAACCTGCAATGTTTGACTTCAGATTATTGATGTGTTTGAATAAACTATGTGGTTATCACTCAATTAGACACTTTCCTGGGGGCAATGCATTTCTCTTCTCCATATTTTTCTGAACAAATTCTACCAGAACAACACTCTCCTTGCTCAGTGCTGATCTCCATCTGTGATCCCAGCAGAGCTTTTCAGTGGTGCTTTCACTACAGTGTTGGTGTCCCATCAGGAACACAGACCCCAACAATTGGGAGACTCTGCCTTATTTCAGAGTGAGAAGGAAATCTGCTCTCCCTCACTTCCTCTCCAATCCACAGGAGAGTGAATCCTACATTATTTCCAGTAAAGAGCAGGTGAAAAACTTGATGGAACTTCCTTTCTGGCAAATATCTTGCCATAGGATAAGACTTAGTTCCAGTTACAAAAATACATCTAAGATCACTGTAGCTGTTTACAGTTGCTTAAGATTACAGGAAACCAGTTTAATTAAGTCTATCCAGTACATTTAAGTGAAACATTACTATGATTAGAATAAAATTCAGTTAAATCAGTTTCACTTTGTTTGAAGTAGCTTCTAAAGTAAACTGAAATCAGCTTAGACATTTGGTCCCATTAATACAAAACTCAGTCAAAGTCTTGTGCCATTTATGATTTCCACAATATTTACTTACAAATTGGCTGGCTGGGAGTTACCTATGGAATTCCACTTTCCTTTTGCAGTTTGTATCACTCTACTTCTTACCTGGACAGCCTTGGAGGCAAACTCAGAGGTGCTGATTTGCTGCCTACAGCCTCTGCCCTCTCCGAGATGCCTAAAACTGACAATTCCTTAAGTGCTTCCCATTTATTTCAGAACTCCTTAGAGGCAAAGCAGGATAAGGCTAAGACTTTTTCCTCACCTCAATGTTAACCTGTTTAGGAGTCACTACAGAGCAAACATACTTACTCTGAGTTTTCCCCAGCCTGGATAGAGCAGAGTTTCAGGCAAATCATTGGATTTGTGGCTCTCTACAGACACCCAAGTCACTGCAGTGGGGCACTAGGTGTGGGGGATAGAAAATCAGCAGCAACATGTTGGATTTTACCTCAGTGCTTAGAAAACTGGTTTAAGTGACAAGCTGCACTTTTTCCTGTTGCAGTCTCAGGCTGTGGCAAGCTCATTAAAAATGCACTGAGTAACTGGCTGTTCCTACAGCACTTAGAACACAGAGCAGTTATTAAAACCATGAGATATAGAGTGCTACAACTTCAGGAGGAGTGTGTCTCTGTTGTGATCCTTTTCAGTGCTGGCAATAGTCCATTGAAACCAGAATAATTGTTAAAGCAGATTTCATCAAACCTCTATTATTTCTTGTATTATTTCAGCAAGTTGATACACAGAATTTGTAATTCTACTACAACTACTCAATCTCATTTTCTGGTTTTCCACAGGTGTTTTTGTAATGTTTCTCACAGAAGTCTTAATTTTCATTTCATCTCACAGTAGTTTGATTTTCATTTTCTTCAGTCTGGCATCAGCAGAAATAACTATATCAAAACTCAGTCTGGCCTAAGCTTTCAACTTTTATCCTAAAAAGCAGCAAAATCAGAAGAAAAAGAGTGAAAAATAGGGGGTAAAGGAAGAAAAAAAAAAATAAAGCAGTCTTCAAAAAGCAAATATTTTCCATTGAGTAATACTAATTGTGCTAAAAAGATAAAATCAAGCATCTAAAGGTGTTGTTACTACATGTAGGACATGTTCTCTTACAACTTCTTTAGTACTAACCAGTGAATGTTCTGTCACACCCTCAAAGCAGCATTTGTAACCCTTAATTAACATTTTTGACCCAAATCTATAGTACAAATGAATTATTTTAATCACACCTTATTGATACAGTAAAAAAAATAAATCAGATTTAGAATTTGTTTTAAATGAGAAATACTTGGTACCAGGTTAAACTTAATTTTGCTGTAAGAAAAGAAGATTAAAAGCCAAATAAATCTGTTAATTATCCCTTTAACTTTAACTTAATTTTAAAAACATTGAGGGGGAAGGGCAAACCTGGTGATAGCAGTTTACAGCTTCAGCCTTCTGCCAGTCTCATTTACTTCTAACTCTGATTTTTCGGGTTTGAGGGTTGAAATTTTTCTGTCATTCTGTCTAAAATATTGCTGCAATTCCCAACTGGAAGTGCTCAATTTGGAATGGTCAAATCAGTGGATTTCACTTTAAAAAGCACAAAACCTGATATGCAAAGACAAAGGACTTTGCCTCAAAGACTAAGAAACAGAAAATCTCAGTGCAGTTTCCTCTGCACAAAGTCTGAAGAGATGGAAAAAATAATGGGGGGAAACCACATTTTATGCCTTAATATTGGCTCCACCTCCCCCTCATTCCGCTTTGTAGGGCTGGAAGCATCAAACTCCAGCTTTTAGGAAAAGTTATGCTCTCCTCATTGCTAACTTCCTGGGAAACAGTTAAAGGGAGAAGAAAACAACTCACATTTTGCAAGGGGGGGGGAAAACGCAATATAAATTCAAAAAGCAGTGCTCCTTCCTAAATATTCCCTTCCTCTGCCCCCAGGACAAGGGAATGCTCTCCACACTGAGCTTTAAGAATCTCTGCACCATCATTTCCATTTAGCTTTATCTTTCACTTTGTATTTCTCCCTTCTAGAAGTGTTGGTAAAATAATACTTGCGAACAAAGTATAGAAAAAAGGTCTACTTCCTATAGTTGTTTTTTTGGAGGTATTTCTTGTTCTGTTTTGAAAGAGAAAATACAGGAATAAAGTGTTGGAGGGAAAAATTAATTGGCATGGAGACTTGAAAACAGAGATATCCTCTTTTTGTGGGTGTAGCTGTGAAAAGGACTGCACAGAAAGGCTTGAGGAAGTGAAGCAAAACACAGCGACACAGCTACACTTTTATTTCAGTTTTTAGAGGGGAACTGGAAGTTCCTTTGACAGAAAAAAGCCTAAAATCAACTCTATTTCTAAAAATTTTCAGACCTTGGGAAGCTCCTGCTGATCACTAATTTTCTAGGCTATGATTCTCCAGAGTCAATTTGGGACCTGGTAGGAACAGTGGTGAAATTACAGGGAATTGAAGAATTAGTTATTCAAATTAATATTTAAATAATTCCATCAAGTATTTCAATTTTTTCAAGTTTTCGGACAATGAGAATTTTGTTCAGTGCCAAACAATTACTTAAAATGTAAATGGAGTTAGTGTGGCTCTCCTCAGCCTGTCTGTAAAACAGCAAACAGGATTTTAAGGTCAAATGTGAATTTAAATGATGTTATATTGACAAACTCAGTGATTATTTTTGCAGTTTGGCCTGCACACTGTAACTTTTAAAAGCAGAGCCTGAATTGGCTCTAAACCTGCCACTCCTTGAGTCCTCTACTTGTTAAACAAGTGTAAACAACAAGTACACTTCAGGCTTTTTTCTTGCACTCAGTTTTGCTGCACAGCTCCTTTTTCCATACTTACTGCTCAGTCAGACCAGGTTGCTGTGTGAGAGCTGTGGGTAACAGTGGAATCCTGGAGACCGAACATGGATGCACTTTTCTCTCAGAACAGCACCAAGTTGCTAAGTCTCTGCCACGCTGAAGCAGCACAATAATATTGGGGTTTAAGGTTTACTTTACTACACCAATATTTACGTGCTGCTAGGGCGGAACGAGGATGACAACTCTTCAGCCATTTCTCAGGAACAGCAATTGCTTCCTCCATTTTTACCATTTCTCAACACTGACAATTTCTCAAGATTTCCATAAAAATTCATATTAGCATCTTCAAGTGTTTCTCTTCCTTAAATTTCTAAAGCAGCAAATAATGATTCGCATCTTGCTTGGATCATGCAAACCATGATGTGCTGCTAGAGGACTTTAAGGCCTCACACAGCACTTCAAACCTAAACAAGATTTTTTTATAACTGCAACTGGAAACAGAACTTGAAATTTGGTTTTATTCATGCACCAACCTGTAAAATTAAGAATCTGTTATGATCCAGGTCAATCCCATGACTTCGCAGGAGAATCCCAACATCTCTGAATGTCGTTTTCTTCCCATCAATGTGGTAGACAGAGGAATTATCTCTATAGGCAGTTCTGGATACATAAAACTTGCTGTTAGGAATGACTTCATAATCATCTCCTTCCTGTTTGTAGGGAACACAAAGCCAGAGGAACAATTACTGTGTCACTGCTTCTCACACTGTATTTACCTCACATTTCACAATTAGGCACTGAAGTTTTCTTATGCTCAGATTTTAAGTCAATTGAGCTCTGAGTTAGAGAAGTGAGAACTGGTTTAAAGCTGCAGCTCAAAAAAGAGAGGAAAAAAAACACCCTTTGAGAACTGGACAAAAAATAGCCCAAATTGTTTCAATTAAATTGCCCTCATCTTATGCCTTTCCTACCCCTAACACAAGCTCTTGCTTTGAAAATCCTGAATTTATTCCCTTTGCCACTGCTGGAAATCACAAAGGGAAAGGCCTACTTCAAATGTAGAGTGGCTGTGCTGTCCCACCCTGGACATTTGGGATCAAAAAGCCCTGAATGACTTTGCTGTTTGCATTCTGAGCTCCTCTGTTACAGAGCTTGGAAAAGGAGTTGCTTTTAGCTGCAACTGTAAAAGATAAAACAGCCAAACATTAAAGATGTGACAAATATGACATCAGCAGCTTCAAAAGATATCTCAGAGTAAACTACAAAGCAGCAACTAAAATAATGCTGGTACTAGGCTTGAAAAAGTTAAAACTGAGGCATGTTACTTGTAAAGGCTTCAGCTAGGCTGCCACTTCCTCAGATTAACCCCCAAGAGCTATCAAGTTGCTCTTTAGGATATGCAGAGGGTTTTTAGATCATAAATTTCTCTTCTAGTTGTTAATATAAAATAAATTAAAAAAGGATAATTTTGAAATTTGGTTATTATAAAACAAAACAGAAGGTGTGTGATTATGTATATTGATTAAAAGAAAAAAAATGTATTTTAAAACAGTTCCCTCAGAGGCTGTAAATACTGGCACTTCATTAACACCATTTCTGAAATTTCAATGTACACTTCCCTCTATTTTGACTGATCCCAAATTTAACAGTTTGGATGTGTACACAAAAATTAGATTTAAATGAAGAGAAAAAAATTCCTCGTAGTGCAGTTGCAATAAAGCAACAGAAAAGGTCTGAAGATTTTATCAACATACGAAGTGACAAGCAAAATAAATATATTTATTTGCCCACAATTTCTATTTCATTCAAACAAAATATCAGCTTCAAAAATATTTAGAGATAGGATGTGAAGTCCTGAATTTTATGAAAAATCTGCTTGAAAATTGCATGTTTACAGTAAAACTAAAGTGTAAATAAGTTTCAGATTCATCATAGATTTCCCTAAATTTAGATAACCTAAAATAGTTTCTAATTGGTTGAAAAAACTTAAATAGGTTTTATTTCTTAATACACATACTGATAAATTTAAGAATCAATTTAATACACACACTGATAAATTGCAGAACAGATAGAACATGTCTAAATCTATAACTAGAACATGTAAAAATATCCTAAAAAAATTTTAGGGGGTCTTTTAATTATAGAAATAAGTTTTATTTATTTGAGGTGAGATGACCAATCTCAAATGATTTCTTAAAACTACTATTACACATTTCTAGATAGCTTCAAACCAGATATGTAACACACCTTAGTCTCACAGAAAATAAAGTATTAGTAGGGATTCTGTTTTTAAGTGCTGAGCTACTCAGAGGATTTTTTCAAGTTAATTAACACTGATGGTTCATATCCCAAAGGTAAACTAATCATGCTACGAAGTTTTCCCCAGCTCCAACTAAAATAACCAAATATTAAGAGTTTTCAAATGCTTAAAGGGAAAAAAAAAAGGCTGCAGTGTTGAGCCTGGCAGGATACATACCTTGTCAATGATCTTTTGGAAGTGAACTTCCACACAACAGCTCTGGACGTCTGTGTGCCCGTCAGAATCATGGATCAGCACTGAGAGTTTTTTGGATCTGATCTTTTGTGCTCGATAGCCAAAGACAAAAAGCAGGGAATCAATGACGTTGGATTTGCCACTGCCATTTGGGCCGATAATACATGAAAAACGCTGCATGGTAAAAGGGAAAGAAGTGATATTCAGAGGGAAATAGCTCCTGGGCACAGCACATCACCCATTTCACTGTGAGCAGTTTGCAAACACAGTGATTCCTCGTGCAGCTGCAGACTGATAGCTCAGGTTTTGCTGCCAGAGGTAAAGCATTACAAGTCACCAAATAAAAAACTCCTCTCGCCTCAGCTTTTTGCACTTGAACTTGTTAACCGAAGGCAGCACTGCCCTGAGCATGTTCACAAGGAAAGTTTCAGGATTAGCCACGTAAGTCTCTTGTGGGCACTAAAATATATTCTCATTTTTCAAACACAGCCCTAAAAGTTCTCCAGCAAACGAAATCAAGAGAAAAATGTGCTTTTTTAAGCTGTGCTGACAAATTAAAATTGCACAGGATCTGAGAGTTGCTGTTAACTGTTTTCTCTGCTGTCTTATAGTGAAAATTTAGAATATTACTATTGAAGTATTTTAAAAACTGAAATACTTTGCAGTTTGAGGTCAGCTCAAATGAAAATACAGGAAGGAATATTAACCCACAGCAAAGCCTTACCTTCATTTAAAAAGTATTAAGGTCAAAGTAAAGATACCTTATGAAAAGGTCCCAAGATTTTCTCCCCTGCATAGGATTTGAAGTTCCGGTTTACAATGTGAGTTATCATGAGCCGAGGAGCACCGGGTTCGTTGGCCATTGCTGGAGGTGGGGGAGGAGGAATACTACCCAAAATCTCTTCTAAACTGCGATTATCAGCCACCTCATCTGAGCCGGCTACAAACCAGCCAAAATAAACAGAAAGATAAAAAAATAACACACTGTAAGCTCTCAATGATTTGACACCTCTGAAAACGTTCAGCCGACACAGCAAACATCATTTCCACACGAGCCAAACCCACACTTTGGCCTGTAATTATTAACAGGAGCTAAGTGGAGCTAAAATTCTTCTTTCCACCAACTTAAAGCTTTTTTAAGAGATACTTAAGATGTATCATCGATGCACTAGTGGATTTGCTCTTTCATTATGTAATTCTGATTCCAGCACACTAACAGCCACTCTGCAATTCCAACAGCTACAACCAGCACAAGAAGTCTCCGAATGCCAAGCAGGCAAAGCTTTTCTAATTAATCGGTGCAAAGGCACATTTGGAGTCACTCTGCAAGACTTGAGGGTGGCTGCCCCAGGCTCTGAGAGCTGCAGTGACAGCACAACTGCTCTGCAGCGACAGGAAGTTTGTTACGAAAACAAAGTGGCCCCCTGGATATCAGCGAGTTGTAAGCAAAGCAGCTTTGCAGCAAGGCACCAGCAACAACTCCTTCACAGAGGTAGCAGTGCCGGACAGCAATTTAAACAGATTAATTTATGTGTCAAAGACCTCCCTCTCCTAACTGCACATCTGGCTACCTAAAAAGTCACACAGCTGCTGCTTTTGCAGCTATTTTCTGCGAAGGCTCAACTCGAGGAACTCGAGAAAATCCACTGCTTGGTGAAAAAGAAAGTCAAATCGTTTTAAGAGTTAAGTAAATAAACTTGACATTTATTCCATCACAAGAAATCCCATACCATTGGCTGAATATAAATTTGAAAACTCCTGCTGCTGTACCACGATCTGAAGAAGAACGTTCCAGATCAGGAATATGAAATAGGCTTCATTAGGAGAAAGTCTACAAATAGCTTTTGCATTTGCACCGGGCCAAACACTAAGCTCTTTCCCCCCCACTTTAAAAGCAGTTGAAACTTGCCAGGAGCTAAGGCTTTCAGCATTCCTTTCTAAAAGGGAAAAGAGCAAATCCCATCTGGAACAGTTGGTGAATTTACTGCTAAGGAGGCACTGTCACCAGGCTCAGTCAGCACCACCACCCCAGACCTACCTTGAGCAGGACGTTCCTCAGGCTGCCTGATGCCTTCGTTTTCCACTTCCACGTCACTGGTGGACTGCTCCAAGGGCTCTCTGCCCTCCCTACGGGCTGCTGTAGAGGTTTTGGTGCTCCTGCTTGGCTTCATCCCTGCTGGCTGTTTCCCTTCCATCCCGAGCAATCAAACTAGCGAAGGTTCTATCTCTTTTGCTAACACAAACAAGAAAACCCATGATCTAAGCATTGAGCTACAACCCTACACATCTGCCCACGTGTTTGACTCATTTAGCAACTACAGACTAGAGGTATTTGGAAGCCAAAACCCCAAACTTGAAACAAAAGCTCAAGATTAGCTCCACAATGATCTATTTTAAGGTACATCACCCCCAAAATAAACCAACAGGCTGACCCTGATCTGTGCACACAGCATCAATCTACCTGCTGGAAACTTAGCTGGACACCCTGAGTGGCTTTGCTCAGAGCCACAGTGAGTGGTGCTGGGGGCAAAAGAGTTAAAAGACATTCAAGTAACTGAGTAGCCATAAGTCTGTACCCTCCTGGAAGAGCTCTTTATACAAGTTTCAGACTTGATATTAATTTTACTTTCAATAATCTGTGCTACATATATTTTTATACACACACACATTTATACATGAATATATAAGTCGATAAACAAAAATAACCGTGCAATTAGAGCAAAGACTTGACCCTTAAACAATCCAAATCACCACACAGCTCACAAAATACAGCACAGCCACTCCTGCCAGTTCTGAGCACTTCACAGAGAAAGCAAAACCAAATACCTTCATCTGGCTGTGATGTTAAAGTTAACTGAGCGAGCAGGAGGCACGACAAAAGCCCATCAGCTGGCACTTAAGCACAGCTCCCCCAAAACGCAGAGAGAAAGCCACCGATGAGAAGAAACGCCGAGTGCAGGAGCAAAACTCTCCCCCAAAGAGCTGAAATTGCAGCAAGTGGCGAAGTGAGTCCGCAGAAAAACAGACATGAGAAAGTTTACTTCTCGCAAGATAAAAAACTGACGTGGTTGGAAAGTCATCTCACAATTGGTGCCAATCATTTGACGTTGTCAGACCTACCCCCAGCCCACACTCATCAGAGTCCTGCGTTCGGGACAATGGGGGGAGGGGGGAGAGAAACGACTCGTTTACAGGCAGTTTGAGCCCGTGCCCTGTTCGGAGGGATCCGCAGTGTCTGTCTCGCACCATTACAGCCTCTCTCAGCACCAGATTTATGGTTTTTGTTTCCCCAAACTGCTCCACTCCAACAGAATTGTGCAATATAGACCTATTTACCTTCCCAACCCTTCCCCCCCCCCCGCCTCGGATACTTCAACAGCACGAACAAGCTTAGCTACTTGACCTCAGCTTTTAAATCGCGATAAATCAGCTGCCACATAGTCTCGAACCGATTTAACAGATTCGTGCCCAGCTCCTCCCCCGAGGCAGCTCAAAGGTGTTGGGGAAAAGCATCTCTTCTCGCTCTCCTGCCAAGGGCCGCTTTTCCTTAGAGAAACGGCAAAAAAACCCAGACCCAGAGACAGAAAAGCTTGTGAACAGCCGATTAGACCTGATAGCGACAACCCCTGTCAGTGAAAATCTTGGGTTGATTTTAAAGCCTAGAGAGACAACTGCAGCCTTGTCATGCTCTGCCCGAGTCCTTAAGGGCTTCCCCGGGAGTTCTCGCTCATCCTCAGAGCAGCAAACAGAGCTGGCGGGAGAAGGGTCCCTGCTCCAAGTAGGTTCGATTCGTGTCCCTCTGTGCTTCCCTGTCCTCCCTGGGTCCCTGGTGCAGGGACAGGCTGTGTCCCGCGGGTGCCCCGAGCACAGGCAGGACGAACCCAACGCGGGCAACAGGCGCTGCCGCCGCTTTTCCTGCCCCGGGACCAGCAGGGAAGGGGGAAATCCAAGCGCGGGGCAGAACCCGCCAACTGCTCAGCACCCCCTGTCTGCCCGCTCAGCACCTCCTCAACCTCTCTGCCTTCCCCTTCAGCATCCCCTGCCTCGACCCCTCAGTACTCCCCGATACCCCCTCAGCACCCTCTCCTTCCCCCTCAGCACACCATCTCCCCCCTCATTACTCCCCTGCTTCCTCCCACTACCCTCTGCCTGCCTCTTCATTATCCCTCAGCAGTCTCTCCTTTCCCTCAGCATCCTCCATCTCCCTCTCACTACCCTCTGCCTCCTCCTCAGCACCCTCTGCCTCCCCTTCATTATCCTTCACTACCCTCTGCCTCCCTCTTCATTATCCTCTGCTTACTCCCTCAGCACCCTCTCCTCTCCCTCAGCATCCTCCATCCCCCCTCACTCTCCTCTGCCTCTCCTCTCAGCACCCC